TTTCCCCAGGTGCACCTGGATTTTAAGCTCTACCTTCTGCTTCCTCCATGGTGGAGCATCCCTATTTTGTGAGGCTCCACTCTCTGCCCTCCCCTGGGTTGYGGAGGTCTCCTGAGCTCTCGTTGGGATCTCCTGGAGATTCCCCTCCAGAAGGATGGAGGGCAACTCCCATCCGCACTGTCACCTGTGGGACAGCCTGGTGCAGGTGATTCTAAAACCATTTCCCATCTCTGTTGGCACTGGTCACTGAGAGATGAACTCGCATGTGCTGCCCTTGGTCCCTAGGACATCATACAGATCAAACATCCTCGGAGCTCGTCCACTGGATCCCATGGAGCTCACAGGCAGAACACCAAGACTCCTTTCTGTGCARTTCTTTCAGATGAATCTTGGAAGAAAGATCACACTTGAGGCAAATCACAGGGGAGATGCTCTTTTATTACAGGAAATGTTTTTGGGGAGGCCAGGTTTGACATGAGGGTGCCCAGGGCCTGGTCCTGCCTGAGAGCACARAAATGCACCAGGAAGTACCATGTTCCAAGAGCCCTTAGGGCAAATATACACCAGACAGCTCAGCAGGACAGTGTGGAAATGAGAAGAGCCTCAGAAAGAGAAAGTCCTGCTGCTACCGCTGGACATGTTGCCAGGAAAGCAGCAGCCCCCATTGAAGGAGGTAGCAAGGAAATGCCTGTGGTGTCAGTGTGGGGATGGCCCTGAGCAGCAGAGATCTGTCCCCACAGGCTGCATCCAGACTGTCTTCCCCTTCAGTGATGCCTTCACTGTGAGCGTTGGAGCAGTGTAGAGGGAAGGGACCATGTAGCTGTGACCCCCATGCGGGAACATGTGAAATCACACCCAGAGTGCAGTTAGGGGAGCTGGGGTCTCTGAATGAATCAGTCCCCTGTCTCAACTCATCTGAGCCTGACTCTGTGCCCCTCAGCTTCCTTGGAGTCAGTGCTGAAAGAGACACTCCACAAGGAAACTCTCCTCACTGCATGGGGAGAATCTGAGGTTGCTCAGACCAGTGGGCTCAGCGTTTCCCCCCTCTTTGCTGGTGAAGGGGGAA